TTCTTTTATTTTTAGGTAAGTTTTCAATATTTTTAAATTTACTGGTACGCCAAAGTAAGTCATGGAAAAAAGTGGAAACAAAGCAAATTATGATTTTCAAATTTTAGAAAAAAATTCCTATAATTTCGATTTGATACCATTTTCCGCGATCGATAACATTTTTCTTTGAGTGTCACAATGAATTAACAAAATAGCGTGTGTCATATCATATAACGCGATGTTTTCTTTATTATTATTATTATTATTCTTATTATGTAAAATTGATGCAAGTGTTTTTCGCATGATTCATCCGCGTCATTATCGTCATCTTCATCCTCCGCATTTTATAAAACAAAATACCCCGCCATTACTCCCCTTCTCAATACGAAATATGAAAACGTCAATAGTTTATTTACAACTGCACAGCTTCTTGATTTTCTATTTTTAAAATATATGGACAGGAGCAGCTACTCTATACTGTTGTATAAATATTTATAAATGTTACTATAAGAAAAAAACTGGAGGCGGAAGGAAGGGACGGGACAATGAATGATAATTTCAGATTATAATGCACTCAATATTGTATGGGCAAATTAGCAAAATGAATTTAATTGCAATTTAATAGAAAATATGATTTAGATTTTCTATTCCGACGCAAAGTTTCAAAAGCTAATGATTTACTTGTAAATTTCGCCCAACGTTGGGTAACTATTTCAAAAATATATTTATATACGACCATTAGTTTATTAAGCTCCTCTATAAAATACATTTAGGTCCTTAACTAGAAGACTTTTTATGCGTTCTCCATACGACGACCTTCAGAATTTCATATTGGGCGCCATTTCTGAGGAATTATTTGAAATTAATTAAAAACACCCTATGGTGGGCGCCAAATTAAAATAAAAATAAATATTTTCCAAACTATTGATTGTAAATGTATTTTAGATTTTTTTTTAATATCACCTTACTTAAACAATTTTCTACAACTTAACTTTTCATAAATGGAATATTCAGTTACCAACTATTTTTGTTCCCACATTGGGCGCCAATTGAAATATTATTAAGTTTATATTTAAACTATTTATGCAAATGGTGAAAAACTACATGAACAGTAACATTTAGGCTACACTTACTGAGAAAAAGATGGAAAACCCCATGTTGGGCGCCATTTAACTTAGTTGTTTATTATTAATTGGACGTCAATTGAAAAAAAAATTGCGCTTATATTTAAACAATTATTTGTGAATTATGAAAAACTACATGAACAGTAATATAAAGGCTAAGCTTAATGAGAAAACCCCACGTTGGGCGCCAATTAAATTAGTTCACCATTGTTTATTTTTATTCGTTGTAATAATCGTCGGGTTTCCTTTTATTTTTTTAAATTCTAAGGAGTTCCCAATCCAAAAATGAAGAACTTTGATTTGAATGGTTTTACAATTGTATGGCTAACGTTGGGCGCCATTTGAAATTAAAATAAATATTTCCTACACTATTGATCATAATTATTATTTCTTATGTATTCGTACGCTATCTTTTAAAATCATCTCAGCTCCATATAACTTTAATGCAACGCTTAATGAAAAAAGGAAGTAATAACCCACATTGGGCGCCAAAAAATTTGGTTGTACATTATTAGCCCAACGGAGTTTCTGTCGAATAAAAATTAATAATGTACAACTAATTTTATTGGCGCCCAAGGTGGGTTATTACTTCTGTTTTTTCATTAAGCGTTGCCTTAAAGTTATATGGAGCTGAGATGATTTTAAAAGATAGCGTACGAGTACATAAGAAATAATAATTGTGATCAATAGTGTAGGAAATATTTATTTTAATTTCAAATGGCGCCCAACGTTAGCCTAAAATTAAGAGCTTTCATTTGAATGATGTTACCAATGCATGTCTTACGTTGGGCGCCAAAACATAGACCCCATAAGTTGATAGTATATCCAAGATGAGTGGTTGACCTTTAAATTGATACCAATTATATTGTCGTATGTATTCGGATGTGGGAGTTACATTTAAATATTTACACGTGCTTACATACTGAGATATTTTTAGTAACCCATTAACACACTAGAAGGCGGAAATATAGTGCTGATCGCTTTTAAAGTTTCCATGAGGTTCCGGTTATGGTCAAGGACAACGCCTATAATTTGCGGTGATGATCATGTCGATCTATGTGCCACAATTATAAGCAGAATGTTACAATGGAGAATGAATCTGGCCAACTAATTTGATGGGCTTTTGTAATGATCTGTCATTATTCAGCGGGTCAAGTAAACCAAGACCTTTCTGTGTAAAATGAAAAAAAAAATGGATATTATGATATAAAACATAATTCGAAAAAGATGTCACGGCAAGAAATAGGAGCTATTGACCTCTAATCGGTTCAGAGGGTGCAAATAGTTGGAGAAAGTTAGAGTTCCGAGGTAGTTGTGTAGGGTATCATATGGTCGGCCCCGTCCGACTATACTGCTCCGCTCTCTGGTTTTCAAAACTATTAATATTGACTATTTTTCTATTTACCCATACGCTGTGTTTGAATATATCTAATCTCAATTTTTTTTAGAAATGAACTTTTTCTCAAACCTAATATGGAGTTACCAACTATTTGTATTCCCACATTGGGCGCCAATTGGAACGTAATTTTGCTAATATTGGAACTACTAATTGGAAATGTTGAAAAACTGCTGCCTTATCATTAACTTCCTGGCTTTGTTTAATGAAAACAAAAAAAAAAAAAAAAAAAAAGTAAAACCCCACGTTGGGCGCCAATTAAATTAGTTGTTCATTTATTTTTATTCGCTATTGCAATCGAAGGGTATCCCCTGTATTTTTATAAATTCTAAAGAGTACTAACCAAAAATTATTTCCTATCCTTTGAATAGTTTTGGCATTGTGTGACTTACGTTGGGCGCCATTTTTAATTAAAAAAGTTAAAATCATCTCACCTCCAAAAAAATCTCTTACAAATCATTTAGTGATTTGTAATGGTGTCATAATTTGACACCATGCAAGGTTGAACTTTTTCACACAATCGAATATTGAGTTACCAACTATTTCTGTTCGCACACCTCGACCCACACAGAAATCTCCAAACATTGTCTGTTTGTTGGTTAGCAAAATGTTAATTGGAATGACAAATAGTCATTGGTTAACAACGGCCAACAAGCAAGCCATAAATGCTGGAGCAAATTTTGTATTTCTGGCATTATAAATAGACTTGACAAATAGTCGCGCTGGGGTGTCGTACTCGTACATGAATGACTATGTTTTGTTTTGCGGAACAAGTTTAAACAAAACGAATGCTAATCAGCTGGCATATATTGACAAGTTCATTTTCCAAGAAAAAATAAACAAATAAAAAATTATAATAGAAAACAATAAATGGAGTATGGAAAAAGACAAAAGTGAAAATGTTATAATTAATAAAAAAAAAAAAAAATTCGAAAATTTTCAAAATTTAATGGAAGATTTTTGGTTTGGAAATTTTTGAAATTTTGTGTAAGAGAAACATTTATGGAAGCTTCTAAGCAATTAAATCAAACTACCTCTACATAACTTTATCAAAATTCGCTTCATTAATTCGCCTGCCGATTTTGTTGAGACAATATCGGTTTCCTAGCTTTATCAAAAACCCCTCTAGAACTCCCCTATCGATTTTTTGCCATTAAGTTGTTGTAATTGAATTCTGTTCAAATATTACTGGCGCCAATATCCCATCTCAAAAATATAGAAAATCGTTATAAAAATTACAGTTTATTTTAAACTGCCCACAAATTCTTCAATGATTTATTTGAAATGATTTTCGTTTCAATTACAATATAATACCGCATATAAATGATATTCCACCCTCTCGCTCATTAATTTGCCAACCATTGTTATATCTCCTCCTACGGCTGTATCGATTTTATAAACAATTCAAGGTTTTCTATAGATAACTTCGTTGGTCTTTTGCGGACAATTATTTTTATCCTTCTACCTTTTTGGCATTCTAAATCGGGTATTGAATTGAACGGCAATTTAATCCTCCTCCTACACGCACCACACATAATCATCAGCCGCAACAGCAGAATTTCAATGCAATTGAAATTATCATAAATTATAAGAAAAACAATTGCACCGACTTTTCAAAGAATTTTTTTGTAAAGGTTATAGATTTGCAAAGGCGCTGCATTGGCGTTCTGTCGTCCACGGAATGCGTTTAAAATGATGACAAAAAAGCGCACGTGAGAATTTACATAATTGGCAAAGAAACTAACAAGAACTCAATGCAGTCGAAAATTGTAGAGTCTCATGTTGGGCGCCATTTGGAAAACAACTAAATAATTAAAAAAATGTAACTAGAACCAGTAAGGAAAGTAGTAAATTCGAACGGGGCCGACTATATGATACCCTTTACCACTTTGGGTATATTCAACAGATGGAATCCTAACGGACGTCGCATTATTGAAGGACCAGTAAAATGAAGTTGGATCCATAAACATGTCATTCCGCAACCTATACTAAATTTTGGTCAGATATAGAGTGGCTCCGCTTTGGTAGTTCTATTCAGTTTGGTAGTTCTATTCAGTAAATAAATTCGTCTGATCGGGTTAGGAGTGATCCTCGCTCGTATCGGGGCATAAGTCTTCTTCCAGTGCTTGGAAAAGTGCTGGAGAGGATTATGGTGGCACAGCTTAAGGATTGCGAAGGTACGTCATTGTATAAGTTCGGGTTTACCGAGGGTAGAGGTACTGTGGACGCGTGGCGGCATGTGCAAGATAGCCTGAGCGGGTCAAATTCCAAATATGTCCTTGGCATATTTGTGGATTTTAAAGGCGCATTTGACTTCATTTTATGGGATAGCGTGCTCACAAGCTTGTCAGAGGTCGGGTGTAGGGAGATCGCTCTTTGGGCAAGTTATTTCCAGGATTAGGAAGGCTTGTGTCGTGGGAGCCAGTGCTTCGGTCTGGATGGATGTGCAGCGGGGTTGCCCACAGAGTTCCATTTGTGGTCCATGTATATGGAATCTCATGATGGATCCTCTGTTGAGGGAGCTAGCGGCTTCCTTCAAGGTCTGTGCATATGCGGATGACCTTCTCATCATGTTTGAAGGGGATAGTCGCCTTGAACTGGAAAATGGTGGTGAGCAAGCTATGCAGATTGTGCAGGCTTGGAGTGACCGAGTTGGAGTGGAGGTGGCTACCGAGAAGACGGTGCTGATGCTGCTGAAAGACAGATTGGCGCGCAGTCGTCCTCCCTGCGTTCGAGCTGGTGAACGCGGCATAAGGTATTCGTGTACTGTTAAATATCTCGGAATAACAGTGTCAGAGCGTTTGAATTTTCTTCCACACTTCGATCGGTTGAAAGAGAAGCTGACAACGGTCGTTGGGACCATCAGGCGTGTTTTGCGGACTGATTGGGGCTTGAGTAGGCGTTCTGTGCGAATCATATATGGTGGGCTTTTTGTTGCCTGCGCAACTTATGGTGTACCTATATGGTACAGAACTGTCTCTTCTGTCTTTGGGCAGAAGAAGCTCCTTTCGTGTCAGCGGGTCGTCATGTTAGCGTGCTTGCCAGTGTGTCGCACTATTTCAACAGAGGCGATGCAGGTGATGCTTGGCGCCGCGCCGTTTGATCTTGAAGATGTAGGGCTATTATGTATGGCTTGAAGTTGGATGAGGATGATTGGCTCAGGCCTTCTGATTTGGTGGATGGGGAGAGTAGGCGGTACAGCACAATCCTTCGGGATTGTGTTGTTGATAGGTGGAGGACAAGGTGGACGAACAGTGACAAAGGGAGGGTGACGTACGAATTTATTCGTGACGCAACGTTCGTAGTGGACCGGCCAGACTTTCGCTTCGGATTAAGTACTGGTTTCTTACTGACGGAGCATGGCTCTCTTAATGCTTTTCTGCATAAGAGAGGCCTAGCCTCTCATTGTCATTTACAGTTTTTCACATCACAATATAACCAAATAATATATCATGGCCTTATTACTAATTTTTTGTGCATGATTAAAAATGAAAAATAGTTTCCTCACGTTGGACGCCAATTATATATGAAAATGAAAGCAACCTGTTCTATTTACCATTTCTCTTCTGAATATAATCAAATAAATGCAATAATGATATTTCTTGGAAGAATCCACATAGGAGAACAGGGCGTAATGATCACACACCACCTTGGGCGCCAAATTTGAACTCTATATTGTGAATTATTCACAAAACCTAAAAAAATCTTTTAACAATTATAACCAGTATTACACATTTTCATAAATCGTGTTCCGTTATTATCACGACCTTGTTACTACTGACAGACTGACTGACTGACTGTTTGTTGGTTGTATGATTTTATTTTCTTTTTTTCTCTCACATTCCGCAAAGTTGTTGTAAATTTTTATAGCCATATTTATAGCAAGTGACTTTTGCTTCTGGGTTTGACTTTGTGTGTCTGTCTGATCATTATTATTATTATTGCTTGTCATGTTTTTGCTTGCGGTTTCTCTGCCTTGATGGTGTCACTTGCTTGCGAACATGTGTATTTTTGCGCCACTGTCATTGCCAACTCGTGTAATAATTGTGTCGTCGTCGCTGATGAGGATGAGGTGAAGGCAATTGCATTCCGTAACAAATTTGGTCTCTAGGTTTTATTGGACACAACCTTCCAAGAATAAAAATCTCTTGTCAAGTTGTCATCAAACATTAAAATGTCGATTGCCTTTATTGCTGTCCGCCAAATACAAATTGCTGCTGCCAATTCTATTTCGATTCGAAGCACTGCTACCACTTGCAATGACCTTATAGTTATTAGACTTTCCTTAGACAATTGCTGTCAATCAGAATTCGACAGTTGGCCATTGGGAAATTTGGACCCATACAAAAGGAAATGTACTGTTGAAATTCTATTGTATCGATTTCGAAAAATGAAACTAAATAGAAATGGGAAATAATTGTTAAAAATGTTCGCTTAACCTTTATCAAAGAACAAAATACCTCAAAATACCAACACCAAGCTCAACTGATGAATGTTTTCTCATTACCTTGTTTCACTAACCCATTTTTTTTGGCTGATAAAATGTAAAACGTTTCCTTCTTTTCCTTCCATTGACTTTGATGCAGATAAGATCAATAGGTGCCCAACATATTGGTGGATGTTGATCTTTTGATTTTAATTTGGCGCCCAACGTAAGTTTTGTTATTTGCATACAATTTACGCGACCAAGTACTTCTTCTCTTGCCTAGGGAATATTTATAATTGGTGACCTATGTGAGTCCAGTGTTTCCTTTTTTCGTTTTTCTACTTCTGCATTTACAACTTTTTTTTACTTTTCATCATTGAATTTAGATATGTTTTTATGAAGAGGATATTTAAAACGAAGTTTTCGTTACTTGTTTCATAATTGGAGCCCAACGGAAATGCCTTTTTTGGAAGTATCTTCTATAAGAATAGAAAGACCCTACATGATCTTCTAAAATAAGACATTTTGATCATCTGTAGGAAGACCTTTCAATATGAAGACCTATTGGTCTTCTAGAATAGTTCGTCTTCTGTCTGTATTTCCTTCCATCTATCCGTATTTCCTTTTTCCTATTTCTATTCTATTTGATCAATTCGACTTTTCAGAGAAGATCAATTGGACTTATCAAGAAACCCAATTGGACTATTCATAGAAGACCAATTGGACTTCTCTTAAAAAATCAGGAGGACCACTTGGACTTTTCATAGAAGAGCAATTGGACTTCTCATAAAAAAAATCATGAAGACCAATTGGACTTCTCAGAGAAGGTCAATACGATTTCTTATAGATGATCAATTCGACATCTCATATAAGAGCAATTGGACTTCTCATAAAAAAATCAAGAAGACCCATTTGACATCTCATAGAATACTAATTTGACTTCTCATAGGATATCAATTGGACTCCAATTATTATTCTACCAATTGGACTTCCCATAAAAAATCACAAAGACCAATTGGACTTTTCATAGAAGACCAATTGAGCTCAGAAAATCAATTCGACTTCTTAATGGTGATCAATTGGACTTCTCATATTAGACCAATTGGACTTTTCATAAAAAAATCAGAAAGACCCATTTGACTTCTCATAGAATACTAATTGGACTTATCATAGCCTATCAATTGGACTCCAATTGGTAGAATACCAATTACACTTCTCATAAAAAAATCACAAAGAACAATTGGACTTTTCATAGAAGACCAATTGAACTTTTCAGAGAAAATCGATTGGACTTCTCATAAAAAAATTAAGAAAATTTTCCAAAGAAGACCAATTGGGCTTCTCAGAGAAGATTAATTGGACTTTTCATAGAAGGCCAATTGGAATTCTCCCAGAAGATTAATTTGACTTCTTATAGAAGATCAATTGGACTTCTCATAAAAAATAAAAAAAAAAAACAATTGGACTTCTAATAGAATACTTATTGGACTTCTCATAGGATACCAATTGGACTCCACATAAAATACTAGTTGGACTTCTCATAGAAGGCCAATTGAAATTCTCAAGAAGACCAATTGGACTTCTCATAAAAATATCCAGAAGAATGATTGGACTTCTTAATAAAAAGTCAAGAAGACCAATTGGACTCCACATAAAATACCAATTGGACTTCTCATTAAAACATAAAGAAGACCAGTTGGATTTTTCATAGAAGGTCAATGGGCTTCTAATAAAGACCAATTGGAATTTTGATAGAAAACCAATTGAATTTCCCAGAGAAGGCCAATTGGACTTCTAAAGAAGATCAACTGGACTTATATTATAAGACTTCTCATAGAAGACCAATCGAACTATTTATTAAAATCAATTGGACTTCACATATTAGACCAATTGGTATATTAAGTGAAATTCTCATAGAAGAAGTACAGTTGAACTTTTCATAGAAGGCATGGTATTTCTTATATAAAACCAATTGGACTTCTTATATAAGGTATATTGGACTTTTCGTAGAAGACCAATCCGCATAGAATACCAATTGGCCATCGGATAGAACATCAATTACACTTCATATAGAAGACCAATTGGACCTCTCATAAAAAACAAATTGGACTCCTCAAAGAATATCAATTGGAATTTTCATAGACGACTAATGGGACTTCTCATAGAAGGACAATCGAACTACTTATAGAAACCAATTGGGCTTCACATATTAGACCAATTGGAATATTAAGAGGAATTCTTATAGAAGAAGTTATGGATGTTTTCTATTTTACTCGAAAACAGTTTTTAAAGAAGTCCACTATTAGAAGAAGTCCAATTGGGCTTTTTATTTAGGACCAATTGGACTTCTTATATAGGACCAATTGGGCTTCTTATATAAGACCAATTCGAAATCTTATAGTTGATCAATTGTTAATCTCATAGAAGACTAATGGGAATTATAATAGAAAACCAATTGGAAAATCACAGACAACCAATTGGAAATATTATTGAAGACCAATATGATTTTGTCAAAGAAGACCAATAGAGCCTCTCAATGAATACCAATTGGATTTCTTATAGAATTCCAATTGGATTTGTTGGTCTTCTAAAAGGAACCGCTTTGGACTTCTATATTGGTCTTCTATAAGGGTACCTATTGGTCTTCATTAAGAGATCTGTATATGGGTCTTCTTCTATTGTAATCAACACTTGTTTTTCCTATTTTTTTTACTCCAATATTAATATTTTCATTAATTTTAATATTTTTAATCATCTTTAAAAGTACCTACACATGTTTTTTTTTCAATCTGTTACACATTTGTTGTCTGTCTTTTTGTTATTAAAGCGTGTCTATATCGGATGTTAATTTAGAGAGAGAAAAAAAACACAAACACAACAAATCATGCTATCTGCTCTGATCAGTGGGTATACGCTTCTTTATTTTGTGTTCCTCTAAAAGCTGCGGAAGTCATTGCCATAATAATAAATAATAATGAAAACAGCAACAACAATAACATCAGCAACAAATCATATAATATGAACAAAAATCAACAACAATGAAAAACAATCACAACAGCAACAACAACACAAGTCAAAACATTTTCGACACACACACTCACACCGAAAACGAGAAAATACCCAACCGACAAAATACTACTCATCAAAATAATAACACACTTTTTTTCACTACCGCTCTTCTTTTTTTCTTGTATTTCTTGTTATTGTCGTGTGTGTGTGTTTTTTTGTAAAACGTCATTAGATTGCCATAGTCGTCATGAATTGGTCAAAACAACAAAACCTCCAATAAATAACAACAACCAGAACAATGGCAACAATAACGTCATCATCACCATCATCAGG